AATGAGGGTTATAAACCTGTGTAAGGAATTAAAAGCACAATTTACAGTTGATGGTTAAGGCTAGGAATTGGATTTAGGGTTTTCATCACGAACTGATATGGAAGATCCACCTAGAGGAGTTGGAAAACCTTAATTCCAAACGAACATTGCACATGGGCTCTAGGGGACAAAAGGCGTATGAACCTATTGTTTGTCACCGGCTACTATGGGATTACATCTCGTTAAGTTGCCCCATTGCCTTGAGGATAAGGCTTTCAGTTCAAAGTTTCGCTTCCCCTGAAATATGAAGGTCTTCATGTTGGAAACGTTAGATCCCCAGAACTCCCTTGGGAAAGGACCTAATTATGTAATTTTATTGAGAAAATTTGAATTTCTTTGCTTTCCCCACTCCAAGCTTGGACTTCTCCCTCTAGCTAGCGGGGTTGGGACGCATCACTAGCTAGCTACTGGTCTTTGGTCACCGAGTCTTGTTTCTCGTTCGCAGATTAAGTGAACTCGTGATAGCTTCAACCCTAGCACTTCATAATCCAGTCAACCATAAGACGAAAGAGAAAAGTTGACTGTAGAAACTTAGGAGCAATTTAATGAACGGAATATTTTTTCTCCATTTATTCATGTTTTAAAATAAGTTCCGAACTTATGTATAATATATATACATCTATATAGTTCTCTTTTAATCTTGCTACTATTATAATTAAATTATAATTATTTTGCTTAATAACTGATGTGTTAGCTAGGTTTAAATATTCGCATACAATTAAGAAGCTGTTAATGAAATTATAATCCAGTAATCACTTTTCTGTTTCATAATTTAAAAAATAAAATATGTATCGGGATTTGTGGAGATTGTAGTATTTTAACAGTTCTAACAGATCCTGTTAGAAATGAACACCGTTAGATGCTGGTTCACTGATCTGGAGGTTAAGAGATTGTGCACCAGAGCGAAGATCCTGGATTCGAATTCTGCATGCGTGATCGTCGATGTGCATTGCTGAGGAGTCTCATACTGAGTTGAAATGGCAATCCAGTACTTCCGGGTTTTCAGTAGTGGTCTAGTTTAGATTGATTGATAAATTGATCTGTTAAAATAAAATCTGTAATTAAATTTAACAAATGAACGACCTTTGAGTGATTCTTGACTGACCTTGAGAGTGTCCACTCAATAACCAGGACCAAATGAGAGTTAAAAACCCGTGTAAGGAATTAAAATTACGATTTACAGTTGATGGTTAAGGTTAGGAATTAGATTTCGGGTATTCATCACGAACTGACATAAGCTATAATGTCAAAACTCTATTTAGCCAAATGGATGAGTGAATTTCGCGCCAAAATCCGAGATCTTTTATCCTATACGTGATTGGTTCGTCCATAAATCATAGTCTCACCAAAATGACAATAATATTCGATAATCATCTATGAATAAAATACATATAAACATAAGTTTTATGCTATTGATGTATTGTAAGTTAGAGGATTATGTTACAAATTATGTTTTAAAATGATCACTTGTAGATTACCACTATTACGATAAGATGATAAGTCTTGCAAATTTGAACGCTATATTCGTCTCCTAAGCTATTCTGTAACTCCCAAGCTAGAACTATACAGAGACCTGGACACGAGAGAGAAGACTCAAAGTATGCGAGTTGTTTACTCCAAGGTTCATTTTAATACAGAAAATACAGGGATTTTATAATATTTTAAATGTCCTTGGGTTGCTAGAAGATTCTGGAATGCTACTAATCATAATAGCAGTGTAGCAGCCAAGCAATCAAAGCCCCTGCATGTGACGTTTCGTTTCCTTGATTTTTTTGGCTAAAACTTCAAGCGAATGCTGATTGGATGAAACACTTCTTGGTGTTTCCTGATGCTTGCATGTCTTGTGCAAGCAATTTTCTGGATCACGCCAACATAAGAAATCTTCCTCAGATGGTCATAACATATTGATTTTATATTCTTAAGTGATTAGACTTTTCAAGATCTAGAGACTATATACTATATACTTAGTTTTTGTTGAAAAGCTTAGATATTTTAAACAGTAAAATCATATATATTACTCACTTACTTATGCCCGTTACTCCCAGTGGAGAATAGGCCGCCGACCAACATTCTCCAGCCCACTCTGTCCTCGGCCTTCCTTTCTACTCCTATTAAATTTTTATTCATTCTTCTCATATGTCTCCGTTTTTCGGTGTAGTGTGTTCTTTGCTCTTCCTTTCCTCGTTTGGAACTGAGGATTCCATGTGAGCGCTTGTCTTTCCTTAATGTGTGTCTTATCCACTTCCAGCGACTTTCCTGATTTCTTCCCCCAATGGGATCTGGTTTGTTAACTCTCACAGTATGTTGTTGCTGGAAGTGTCTGGCCAATGGATCCGAAATATGTTTTGTATATAACTGTTAATAAACACTTGTATCTTCTGGTTGATTGCTTTCGTACTTCTCAAAGTTTCCGCCCCATACAGTAGAACTGTCAAGACATTTGTATTGGAAATTCTGACTTTGGTTTCGTTTGACAGTTGTTTTGAGTTACATATGTTCTTCAATTGTAGATATTCTGCTCTTGCTCTGTCAATCCACGTCTTTACATAAATAAAATATATAAAGCATATAACTTGATTCCAACTTTGATCGTAAGTTGGTATTAATTGTAGAATTGTTGAAAAGGAGATAGTAGTGTACCAAAACATCTAGAAATCCTAAACTCTAGCCGGATTACATTATTAGTGTGCTTTACTGAACAGTATAGAATCAAGATAAATGAGCTGAAGTGTTCAGTAGTTTTCATTGATATCATTATATAATATAAACGTTATTTTGAGATAGTAACTCACTGAAGACAATGGTGTACGGTGGCGCAATTCGTGGATTGGTTGAAGTTAGACATTAACACTAAGATGTGTTTCGTCCAATCAGCGTTCATTTGGAGTCTTGGCCAGAAATTTCAAGGTAGCGAAACGTCACATGCGGAAGCTCTGATTGGTTGGCTACTACAGTGCTACTATGTTGAGTAGCATTCCAGAATATTCCAGCGACCCAAGGACATTTAGATATATTATAAAAACCCCATATTTTCTGAAATAAATTGAACCTCGGAGTAAAGTATTCTCCTTCATACTTGCGTCTTCTCTCTGGTGTTCAAGTCGCTGTGCAGTTCTAGCTTTCGGGCTACCAGAATAGCTTAGGAAACTAATATAGCGTTCAATCGATAAGACTTATTAGTTCAGCAAGCTTTTTTGTTTATCAGTACTTAAAATCTATTAATTCCTTATCCTTTCCATACTTTCCATTATCTAATTTCATTTCCTTGTTAGGTATTCAATAATAATGATTCTATGATTGATCTTAGTTTTTATTTTCAGTCTATTCACTTTTCTCTTACTATACCCAAAGATAAACTGTACTTACTAAAACTATTGACTAATTTTTCAACATTCTACTTGTCGATAAATGAATGGATGACTACATACATCATACAACTACATGATAGTATCAAGCAACCAGTGGTGACCATGTATTATCTCCAATTGATTAAAGTTCAAAATATATATCATAAGGTATCAGTTCAATGACCTAGAGGTCGAAAGTTCAAGTGTCAGAGTGAAGGTCTTAAGTTTCATCATCGATGAAATAATACATGTGTGCTAATGATCAATTTCATATTCGAACAAAACAACTGTTCAATATTTCCTAATACTCAATAGAAACTTAATTAGAATCATTGAATGATATAGGCTATGGATAATATAGAAATATTTCTGTCTAACATCTGGTATATATCTTTCTACAATTTACCCATGAAAAAAATAGTCTAGCGACTAAATTTTGTGCTTTACGAAGACAAACTTATAAAAATAAGTAGTATATATATATATATATATATATATATATATATATATATATATATATATATATATATATAGTGTCCAGTAATCTATCTATACAAACTGATTCATTTTCAATGTTGATTGATCTATTCCTTAATTTAAACTTATATAATCATTTTTGTAAGCAATGATGGATAGTGGCTAGCAGTGGAATCCAGGAAGCGCGTTTCATCTTATTTAGGACTCGTCAGCTGGATATATATTCATCTCAGAGTTGATGTTCACTCTGGGACTCGAACCCATTACCATTCGCTTCAAACTCTATCGCATTATCCACTTAGCTACTGAGTCCCGATAGCCACTTGCTTGTGCAATGGGGTGAATTTCACTTCACTTGGTATTATTTGGCTTGTATCTTCCCACTGATGTTTAGCACTGTAATTGATCAGTCCAGGATTCCACTGCTAGCCACTATCCATCATTGCTTACAAAAAGCTTGTGAATTAAGGCAATATCAAGGCATACTCACAGTATGCACATATACCGATAACAGACTGATCAATTTCGGTTTTAAACGTCAATGGGAAGATACAAGCCAAATAATACCAAGTGAATTATATTATCGTTCCGCTAATAGAACTGTTAATATAAAATGAAAGTATATAATACGCATTTTCTTGGGAAAAGGGATACTTTTAGTTAAATAATTTATAACCGCAGGTAGTTTGTATTAGAAATCTCTAATTTATAATTAAATAGATATATGAAAAATATTTGTTAAATAAAAAGTCTAATATGAATGTCAGAAAGGGTTTTTGTAGATATTTTAGTAATTTAATAGTTAAATTCATGAGTCAATCAAAGCTACACTACCATGGAAACCCTGAGACTCCTCAGCAGTGTGCATTCACGATCCCACTCGTGGAATTCGGACTCAAGACCTATCGGTCTCGTGCGCGAACGCTTAACCTCTAGATCACTGAGTCGGTATTGAATCCGGCGAGTGGGATCGTGGATGCGCACTACCGAAGAGTCCTATACTTAGACGAAACGGCAGTCCAGGGTTTCAAGGTTTTCCATGGTGGTTTAGCTTTAATTGATTCATGAATTTAACTATTAATATTAATGTACCTATGATAGATATCGTTGGAGTATGAACTTTAATGATTGAAAAATTATGAATAAATATCTCAACCATTGAGTCAGAATATTTTGGTTTGAATATAGTGTGAATGAAGTAATAGATAAGTTACAGAATACGCTATGAAACAATGGTTCTCTACTCAATTCCCTAAAAAAGTATGCGTTCGGACCGAAGAAGAGGTAAGCAGCTGACAATGATTACCTCATTTTAAAGAAGATATGATGATATATATTTTAACACACCAACTTGGCAAATCTGTTGACATTACACTTACCTCTGCACAGTTGTATGTTACCTTCCCTATTAAACTGGTAATTAAACAATGATTCAAAGATAAGAATTCGATGATGGGCTTTTTGATGTATGTAATAATTCGACAGCTCTTGTACAGTTAATTACACAGGTCGTACTCAGTGGGATTTATCATTGCGTGTTTGTGAATATAAAACTTCATGGTTAGGAAAAAGAGTCATGAAATCCGTCAACAGCGTGATACTTTCCATTCAGTAGAAAACAAATATCACGTCAAAACAGATCAACTCTTCTTTGATCTCTGGAAAGTTTTGAATAACCTATATTAAAGAGTAATACTAACGTTCCTCTAACTAGAGGAAGTCGTCGGAATCAACTCTGAAAAAAGTGGAACTTATACATCTAAAAAAGGATCATTCACCAACTCCGTTTACCATGCATTACAATTGGATCATTCTATATATAAGTCACAAATCAAAAACCTTTACTCTCCATAACCCTTTTATATTTATCACTGTTTTAATCTATTTTCAGTTTTACTATTCATCTTTCTCGATACATATGAATTTCTTATAGTGATTATCATGACGGCACTTGGATTATTACATTTTATATTCTCCCGTTTCTATTGTCATTATCTGGGCTAACTTTACAGAACATTCTTCCGATTATCCACTTTATTCGCGTGATTTATTTTATTACACTGACCGGAACTCTACACCTTACAACAAATTCTCCTATATGGCTATTAAAAGTAAGAAATCCCAAATGTTGGTAAAGGGTACTAATGATCTCGATGAAAGGTTAGACTCATAGAATATATATTTTATTATGATTTTATTCTATCGACTAAAACTCTTTCGTTATTCGAACCATTTTTGTGTTCGTATCAGTTTTTCGATTATTAACATTTTACATTTCTTTTATACACTAATAGATGCCTGGAATTGTAATGGACAGAAATACTGGATCTACCATTGGTACCACACCACATGGCCGATGGATTGATCAACAGCAATATCTTGTTGAAACATATCGTCAGATTCGTACAAATTTAGGTCAGTTAGAAGCTGAAATAGAAGCTGCACGATTAAGAGTCACTGATTGGACACGATTAAGACGACATCCTAGTCGTAGTCGTAGTTTGAGTCATGCTAGTGTTTCAACTACTGCAAGCAGTTTATTAAGTTGTAGTACATTTGAAAGTGGTGCAACCGATGCTTCATTTTTAAATGTTACAACAGATGGTACTACTGGTTCATCATGTCATTCATCATGTTCATCAACATGTGGTATTCAACTACCTTCAGAAATAGCAGCTAAATTAAGTGCAGCAACATTAATTTCAGCATTTTTAGCTGCAAGTCATGATTTCACTCAAGATAAAGCTCAAGATTCAACTATTTCAGATGATTTAGAACAACCTATTAGAGCTCGTACACCAGATCACTGTTCATCGTCTAATAGATCACGTTCCAACAGATCAATCTCACCTTCATCACGATGAAATGATTAAATATACATGAGGCAATATATATAAATATATATCTATATACTCAGGGTATTTGGGTATTCATAATAAGTTTGATGACGTAAATCTAAATTCATTTCATGGTTGACTTTCACAACATTCTGGATCTAATTAATAAAAGAAATGCATTTTTACTAAATATTCCATTTCATTCATTGATACAAAATAACAGATTTGTATTTGCATTGATTTACATACAGTACTTTACATCTTTTTATTTACTTTATATATACTCATATATATGTAACCATTTATGGTCATGATTATGTTGTGTGGTTGTTGTTGTTTTCATAAACATGCTGTAGGTCTGTCTTTCAAGCTTATAAATAAATCACTTTAAAGAAGGAAACAACGTAAATATCAACCATGTACTTTTAATAAATTGTCATCCTTTTTTCTTACTTATTTATTTACTTACGCCTGTTACTCCTCATGAAGGAGGATAGGCCGCCCACTAATCCATTTTTCTTGATTTAACAAATTATGATGCATTATATGTCTGTGAAATATTAATTAAACATTGAATAATCATAAAATTTGTGGAGTGTTTGAATATTGAATGTTTTTTTTGGAAGAGTCCTTTTGTCTTTTTGAAAGTGTCCTCTTTTGTTGTTGTTGTTGTTGTCGTCGTCGTCGTTAAGTTCATCTGTAAATTCAATGATTTTTTTTGTTTGTTCATCATTAAGTGATTCATTAGCTACTGTCTTTTCTTTTCAAGTGATCCAATTCATTTTAATAATACTTTTTCTAAAAAGAAAAAACAGACTGTAAATTTCTTCTATTTGTGTTTTGACAATTGTGACACCATGGTTACAATTTGCGGGAGTCTAGTTTCATCCTTCAGGAGTTTTTTTTCTTTGACAGTATTATTAGAAAGGCGTTCTGTTGAGTTCATGAGTCAATTGAAGCTATACTACCTGGAAGCACTGGATGGATGTTTCGTCCTATTATGGGACTACTCAGTAGTGGGCATCCACGATCCCGCCCTGAGAGATTTGAACCCAAGACCTCTTCGAATCCACGACCTACCGGTCTTGCGCACAAACCCTTAAACTCTAGACCACTGAGCTGGCATTTAACGGTGTTAAGGTATAACTACAACCAATCCACTAAATTAAGCCACTGCCCACCAATGGCTTGGTTTTAAATAATATTCGAACCAGAAAGACTATAGGATTACTAATAGGATGGTAATTATCAGTGTGAGGTTGTGAAGATTGTTAATTTTTTGATTGAGATTATGAATCGATAAATGTTAGACCATCACTAAAAACCTGGAAGAACTGGACGGCCATTTCATTTTAGTATGGGAATCCTCAGCATTATGGTAATCTGAATAAGTTATACGAGCATATATTTATTTCAACATTTCATACATTCACCGTGGATGCAATATGTACGTGGGATTTTCACTGGTTAATATACTTACTAACAGAATTGCAAAATGTATCTTGTAAAAAGTTAGCTATAAGATTATTTTGTTTTAATTAGATTCAGAAGTATTTTACTCAACAGTACTTACAATTGGTTGATCACTGGGTGGTTATCAATGTCATGTATGTCAGGTACTTCTTACTGCAGATCGAATTCTATCGACCGAGTTGCAATGTGGCCACCAGTCTTGGTGACTCGACATGCGTGCATTTTGTTGAGATAAGATGGCGGTTGGAGGTAGTCAACAAGATACCCTGAACCCAGATTTCGTGCTATTTGGCACTTGTCAGTAAGGTGTCCCTGTAGTAGTGACGAAACCGGTGCTCCTTGACAGATTCGATCCCGTGTCACCCAGCTTCAATGTCAGAAACATTACCACTGAGCTATCCGCATCTCGATCAACCTCATGTAGGACTATCTTCAATCACCATCTTAGCTCAAGAGGATTATTATATTAGATTTAATTTACTAATATTCTTCACGTAAAATGGGCATCATTTTTATAACTTATTGAAAATACTTTGTCATCATCTAGAATAAGATTTCATGCATTGAAAGTGATTGGTATTTGACATAACCATTTGACTTTCTAATTTTTACTGAAGATAGTTGACATTAAATCAGTTAACTTTCATGATATTGTTTGTAATCTATATCTCAAGTGTTCGTGGAATTATTATTATTTTATAGATCTAAAAATAACCGTCATTGTGTTTGAGGTGGCCTGCCTGAATATCAGGGCTACATGTTCTTGCCATCTGGATATTTCAACAACTTATCTGTTTCCTTGATTGTTTTAACACATCATAATGCCTATTAATTGCATAACCTATTCAGGTGCGTTTGTGAAAATTTTACAACATTTCGCTGTACAAGTTAGAAAAGAGCCCAATCGGAGACATCGTGGTGACTGGCAATATGCATCGAATAGAATATACATTAATCAAATGTCGTTTCTTGAACTGCTAACATCTAACTGCAGACCAGTCGATGTTTACCTCAAGGGTCAATCAAGAAATAAGAAACGGAAACTTCGATAATGCAATGAGAAGACGTAGTTTATCAGAATTATGTGATATATTTGCGCAATACATTTCGAACAATCTGATCACACATATACTTGTTAAGAACATTTATATATGAAAAATTAAAAGGTCAACTAGACAGGTTAAGGGTAAGTCATAACAAAGGAAAAAATATTAAAGTACACAAAAACAAATGTGATTACCACTCTGGATAGTAAATCAGTACTACCAGGGTAGGTTAAGTGTAAGTACAAATTGTTTTTGAACACATAAAGGGGGTTTCAATTTTCGTATAGCCAAGGCTTCAATAAACCTTAGTATACGTCCTTGAAGGCTTTTGTACAACACAACAAATGCTGATTTGATATCAACCTTATGACCCGTCTCAATCAAATGTTTCGCAATGGATGATGATGTCTGTCTATCCTGTGATCTTATTTCACCATTGGAATTCATCTGATTTTGCAACCATTTTGGTATATGTTCACCCACCCTTAATTGCAAATCACTGTTGCTCCTCCCTACGTACGTGTTTCCACACATACATGTAAATTTATAGACACAATGGGATGTGACACAATCGTTTTCATGCTGTTTGGGCTTTTGGTGAAACATAGACCTTGTCTTTTCGATGATGACAAGTTGGGCTGCATAAAATGTCCGGTTGATAGCTAATTTAAGTCTCTGTTTCAACATGAGACTATTTGTGTCGCCTCTGAATCGTAACGTAATATGAACTCGCTTTTCGGGTGCCGAAAGCGTCTTAGGTCTAGTCGTGTTGCAGCCCTTCCAGCAGTTTATGAACTTCAAAAAATAACCATTATTCATTAACACATCAGTCAAGAGTTCCGTCTCTACTTCAGTAGTATCACTAGTACAAATACGATTGATCCTATTGAATAGGCTCTTTATTAAACCACGTTTATAATGAATAGGGCAGTGACTATGAAAATTAAGATATTGTCCTGTCCATGTTGGTTTTCTATATATAGCACGTTTGATGGAACCATCATCTCTCCTAGTAATCAGAATGTCAAGAAGAGGAAGTTGGTTGTTCTTCTCTTCTTCACATGTAAGAGAAATATGGTTTTGACTACTATTGAATTCTTCTAACAAGTGGCTTATGTCTTCAATTTTATCACCTTTGATTATTATGTCGTCTACATATCGTTTATACAGACCCATCTTTCGAATTGAGTCTCCAACTAAATTTTCCACATATCCCATGAACACATCAGCTAGCAATGGTCTTATAGGGCTGCCCATAGCTACACCATCTATTTGTCTGAAGTGTTCACCTTCAAATGTGAATTTTACATTATCTGTACATAATAATAATAAATCTTTAAGAGTTTTAACAGGAAAAGGCAGTGGAAGGTTTTTCGAAGAAATAAAGTCACACAAAATATCAATGGTTTTCCTAAGAGGTACATTTGTAAATAAAGTGTTTACATCAAAGGAGCACATTGTCTTTGTCTTTATATTTATATCCTTTAAGTAATTAATTAATTAAACTTGTTGAAAAGCTTTGTGCTGAGAGTTCTGCATTGGACCAAAAATATAATATTGAATAAAACTACTACTACTAATAATATCTGATGTAGATTCCCATAATAATATTAACTTAGAATTGTGCGGTGAATTTATACTCGAAGACTATCCCTATGTGAAAAATGGGTAAAAATATTTTCCACACTAAATATTCACTCACCATTTATTAACAAGCATTTGTCATGTTCATTTGCATTCAGAACTCATCTGTCTATCAAATTCAAAGTAAGCTACAATTATTTTGACTTAGTTTTTAGTCTAAGGATGAATGAAGTTTGAATATCAGGTTACGTTACAAGATGATCCACAAGAAACATTTTAGTTTCACAAGTCCTTAAATGTGTATTTCGAGGATTTCTATCGCGTTTCGAGACTTGTTTTACACTAGTTCTTTATGTATCTTGCTGAAGAGTAAAGGATCAGAGTGAAATATGAATCTACTATCAGGCTCTTCGAAACATTTTCAGTTCGTGTTGATTGATATTAAAAACCATTTGAGTTTAATTTCTTCAGAATATCTTAAAATGATAAATTTCACAAGAAGATGGGTTTTAAAACAGTGTAATAGTTCTAACATCTGCTAATTTATGATGGCATGTCTTTGATCATAATCTATCACTCAATAAGAAAGTGTAGATCAATTTTGTTCACTTATAAATGTATACTTGCAATACACACTGCCAATCAAGATACCAATAATCTGGAATAGATGCGTTTGTAGTCTGTACTTTCTTAATCTTTTTTTTCTAATATAAACGGTATACATTTTCTGTATACTTTATTTTATTTCAATAATTGAGATCATGTGTCAGTTAAAGCTAGACAACCATGGAAAACCTGGAAGCACTAGGCGCCCGCTTCATCCGATTGTGAGGCTACTCAGCAGCGAGCATCCACGATTTCGCTTCGTGAGATTAAAACATAGGACCTATCAGTGTTGCGCGCGAGCGCTTAACCACTGGACCA